TTCTCCAATAAAACATGAGTCTGTGCCATGGCATTGTAGGTAAGAAGAAAAGCCATCTGAATTATCTGGAACCTTCCCAGACCACCAACTTTATCCAGGAGGTCCTGAAAGGCCATGGTGGCTGAATGACCCTCACCAAATGAAGGCAAAGTGGTTGTATCTAGAAGAGTTCAAAGAACAATGTGTTCTATCCTCTCTCACTGTGACACAGAAAAGGGTTTTGACCCTGACCAGTGTCATCATCTTCTCTTCACCTCTGTGGCAAGTCCACAAAGCTAATATCCCCTAGTCATCCTCAGGTTATTTGGGTGGCTGTTTTCTTTAAATCTCTGAGAGAGGTTTTGCTGAGATGCTTCCTAGTTAAATCTGTTAATGATCTACTTTGTGAAAATTCTTGTTGTGGGCATTGAACTGCAGTTAATATTGGACATTGATCTGCAAATACTCTGCAAACAAACTGGAGTAACTCTTCCACTTGTGATGTGATTTTTTAGTGAATATGTGGTTTGCAATACTCCATTGAAGTGTTTGATTTTTCTAGGAGAGATGGAGAGAAGAAATTTTTGGTTTGTTTAGTACTAAGTCTTGACTGACAGAAATCATGAAAAGCATCCCAAGTAAAATAATGCAGTAAGGTGTTATGGTTTAGGTGGAAGATAAATCCATATGTTAGGCAATGCAGGAGTGTTCAGAGGGGTTATGATTAGCTTATGAGTGCTCAAAACTAATCAGTGAGTTAAATAATTTGATGGATTAATAGTGGCTACTGGGTGGTAACTTAAGCAGATAGGGTTTGGCTGGAAGAAGCAGATCATGGGGGCATTCATTTTCAAACAGATGTTATGAGAGTTGACATTCCTGTACCCTGAACTTTATGTAAAGCATTCAAGTATCAGTCTCTTCCACGATGATCCCTGTGTCTGCTTTATCTGCTCTTTTCATTTTTCTTTCATTCTTTTTCCCATTCTTCCTGTTTCATAACCTGAATTATTCTATGTTCACATACATCAATTCTTTTTTCAGCCAAATCAAATGTGCAGCTGTGAGCTTTAATCAATTTATGCAGCAGTTATTTTCTATTTCAACTCCCAAATTTTCATATGGCTATATTTTAGAATACCTACATCTTTATAGGAATTTTCATGAGTCACTATCTTACTTTTATTCCTTAAGCATGTTATTTGAGCACATTTTAACTAATTTCTTTGAAGCTTTTATATGATAAATAAAATATCTGGAAACTGCATAACCATTATATCTATTTGAGTTTGTTAAATATTTTTAGTTGTGATGGACACAATACCTTTATTTGTTTTTATTTTTATTTATTTTTAAATTATTTTTTTATTTATATATGAGTGGAATGCATTACAATTCATAGTACACATATACAGCACAAGTTTTCATATCTCTGGTTGTATAAGAAAGTATATTCACACCAATTTGTGCCTCTATACATGTACTTTGGATAATAATGCCCATCACATTCCCTATTCCCCCTTCCTTGCTTCCCACCTCTGCCCTATCTAGAGTTCATCTATTCCTCCCATGCTCCCCCTCCCTACTCCTCTATGAATCAGTCTCCTTGTATCAGAGAAAACATTTGGCATTTGTTATTTTTT